ACACACACACACACACACACACACACACACACACACACACTTGTGGTTGAAACTTCAAACCTTGTGGTTCCAGCGGTGCTTGAAGTCATATCATCAGAGAAAGGGCGTTTTCAACAGTCATGGGTGTTTTTTAACACCTCAATTTTCTTGCAGCAAGTCGTCTGTTTTCCAAAATGTGTTTATTCATTTCATTTTTCCAATAGCAACCTCGCCCTTTTTATCAAACTGAAATATCCTGTGACAACTTAGTGACGTACGTTTGTTTATTTGTGTTCTTCTTATATTTTTAGACTGAAAAAATAAGAAGCTGACCAGAAATTTGACAGATAATGCTGGTGTCTGGTTGGCTTTTGCACCTTTAACAACTCTGTTGCCAAGTGTAAAGGAGATAAATAAATATCACACATTGCATGTAAAAAGAACAAATTGAGTCTGAAAAGAGACATCTGCTTGTAGATGCCCTCGGTCTTCATTAATTGATAAATGATAAAGTGCAGTGCAGTGGCGCAATCATGGCCTAGATCAGGGGTGTCAAACTCAATTTCACAGAGGGCCACACGAGCATTATGGTGGTCCTTGAAGGACCAGTTGTGATTTACTTTGATGTTTTGTGTTTAAGTTTGACTGAACATGAAATGTCACATACCTCATCTCGTTTGTTGCTGCTGAGCACCGCTAACAAACAATAACTGAGCTCAACGTGGTATTTAAACAGCTTTTTAACACGTCCTCTGAAAAACACTGAAAAATTACTGCGTGCAGAACTGACTAAGCATGAAATAAATAATACAGAAGCACTATTGCAAGTAAAAGTAAAAGGCTGCGTCTCAATTCATGGGCTGTGTCCTCATGAGCACACAGCCCAGCTGGGCCACGTGAGCCACATCCTCCCGGGTAGGCTGCTCAAAACTGCCRTGAAATGAGACGGTCTATCCTTCGCCTAACGTCAGCTTTACGTAAGTTTGTGTGACCACACGCTCCCACACTGCCATAGTGATCAGTTTCACGTTGGACTTAAAGTGTATCTTACACCCCCTGTGAAAAGATAACGCCCCAAGGCGAAATTTGAAAAATGCATCAAAGTGGGCAGGGGAGGGGGTGTGGGTAGGGGAAGGGGGGTTAGAGAGTGGAGGTGTGGCCAGGACGAGAGAACGTGACAGCCTCGGCTGAGCTGTCCGCCTCACAGGACAGAGGAGAAGGAGCGCTCCGCGACAGCCTGACATAAAAAAATAAAAGCATACAGCTGCAGCTGCTCAGAAGATCACTAGTTTAAATCA